ATTGAGTATCTATACTCAGTTTCGTAAAACAAATAATTCAAATATGGTAGAAGTTGAGAAGTCGTTTGATCGAAGTCCTTTATAAAGTTGATATTCACGTATTACCTTAGTTACAACGCCGCCGTTTGGAAATTAATACGTTTCGAATTTCGATTGAACAACTTTACGAGAAAGGAATTAATTTCATGAAACTAGCTTCAATACTGGAAAATGTATGAAGCCATAGTTGTATTAATATAGTATTAATATGCAAATAACAAATAATCATAATTATAATGACACTAGTATAGTTTATTCGTATGTAAGCGGAATACGAATTTAATTTCATAAAACTAATACATAATGGGATTTAAACGTGAAACTATTAATAAAATAAATGTCACAGATATACATATATAATAGATTTAGTTTCATGTCTCTAGTTTTGAAATGTAATCAGGCTTTATGGGAATCGGCTTGTGGGACTGTTTCCTTGTAGCAATTTATAGGGCAGGGGATAATGGGTACTATTCTACAGGACTAACAAGTGAAATGATAAATGACGATGATCGACTGGTTTTATCTTTATTGTTTATAATTAAAGACATCTCATTAGAATTCTCCATGAAACTGATTGAAATTCCTGGTTGATTTATAAGTGACAGAAATTAATGCGATCATTTAGGTACGTAATTAAAATATAAATATTTACCCTTAATGTTTAGATCAGGTTACACGTTGGGTTACATAGGCCGTTGTTACGAGCTGCCTAATGTAGCGATAGCATATCTTCGTTCTCTGGACAGAACTATTTTTTCTTTCTACCCGTTTATCACATTAGAATTATGTTCTTATTCTGAGAGTTCATTCAGAAAGCTTTATAAATTTACCGACTGCACTAGCGAGTAATATTCTTTTGCATTACGTATAGGGTCATAGAGTTTGAATTTACAACAAAAAGTTTTTTTTTTAATATATATTCTTTATTGCACTAAACATACAGAGATAATAACAAATTAGTAAGAAAGTAAGCAAAGGTGAACTTATTTCTAAAAGAGATTTCTTCTAGTCAACCAAACACAGTGGCATAGGTAGTAGTGAATGAGCAGTAATAGTGTTAAACAGACAATTAAACAACAATAATAATAAGTTTTCTGTTTCTTTATTTCAATTGCTTTCCTTATTTTCCTTGAGTTTAAATTGTGGTCAGCAAAAAGTATTTCTGTTAAAATAGTTGGTGTTGTCATATTGTGCCCTTTTCAAATAGCTGATCTGGCACCCTTGTTTGAGGAGGTGGCACGCTCCGTAGTGGTCAGCATATTTTATATTTAGCTAGATTTCCATGAACGCCTCACCGGGTGCGCGTCAATCAGACCCTCACAAGCCATTTTAGTAATCGATATACCGCTTACTATATTTAACATCTGTTTTTATACTTGACATATTTAGAAAACAGTTTTGCTAAATCTTTACATTCAAATAACAATACATAAAATAAACATCCAGAAAAAAAAGTTTCAATTCTTTCCTTTCATTTTTAAACGACCAATTAAAAAAAAAAGAATTTCCTAGTTAGTATGCTAAATATGCCAAGTACAAAAAAAAAACTATCGGTTTTTAACACCTTATATGCCCCTAACTATATTAAATACCTAATTAATATTTAGTTACACATATTACGATATGAATTATAAAATCTTTTGAATACATGTCGTAAATTATTTGTGACTTACTGTAATATTTATGCACATAGCATGTATAATATTGCTGTATTTAAAAATCTAGGATTCTGGAAATATGTTATGTTCCGTATTTTGTTATATTTTTTTTTCACTGCAGAATCAAAGCGTAGTTTGAAAATACATAGTTGGTAAAATTGCCTGCCATTTACAATTCCTTGTATTAATAATATTAATTTTTAATTACATATTCTCTAAAGAGAGTGATGTGTACATAGGATCATAGGATCGGTCTATTCCATTAATTCTATCGTGAAAATAGATTGGATGATCTACTAATTTATCATTAACTTGATGAATATGCAGGTATGTACTTGAGTAGATAGGTCTACTGTAGTTCGGGGAATGTCGGAATTAATAAGATTCCCAACCTAACATTGTATAGGTATTCTCAATATTTTAATTATAAAGAAGACATCATCCTTATTACGTATCAGAAATTATCAATTATTAATTTTCCTTTCTGCGAAATGCTTAGGTATCTATTATAATTATTTAATAAGACTATATTTTCTTGTATGATTAATGACGTACAGAGATTTGATCGACTGTTATCATTGTAGTGAATGTTAATATTAACGGAAATAACTTACTAGTTGTAATACTATATAGATACAAAAGTTTATGAAAATAGTTACTCTTCTACGTAAAAACTACACAACGGATTTAATAGAAATTCAGTACACGAATCATTTATCTCTTAATGCATAGCATATTTTAGACATTGATTCAATATATAAAATATATAATAATTGTCGCAATTCATGGGTACATGGTTACAGCTAGTCATATATAAATCACTGAAGCTCAATATTCATCGTTACTATTGTACTGTATTTTAGAAGTAGTATTATTCTATTTTCAAATATTTAAGAAAATATATAAATTTTAAATTAGTTGAATGTTTACCTTTTCTTTGTAGTATTAATTCTTTTTTAATTTCTTAAAATTTTTTGTTAGGCTTTTTTTTTATTTAATGTTACTATTGAAAAGTATATATACTAAAATAAAACTGATAAGATATTTTTGCCCGTACTTTTTGTGAATTAATTATATCGTAAGAGATTATAGGGATCCTCTGAAATCGGAGCTGTCTGTGGTTCTCTATCTACTTACAGTGTAGGTTTAAGAGAAATCCTTTTGCTGCAGTTTGTAATTATAAATTTACTTGTTTCCTTTATTTATGTAATCTTTGTAGCAATAAATACATTACTTCTTTATATATAGTTAGCATCATCATTATCATCATATCAGTCGTCGTATGTTCACTGCTGAACATAGGCTTCTCTCATAGATTTTGGGGTTTTGCTAAAAGTTGCCACGCTTGGCAAGCGGGTTCGCAACTGTAATTAGACTTTAATGACGTTTTACGAGGGACACTGTTGCTCATCCCTCGAATCTTAAGTTCCCTTAGTCGCGTCTTACGACATCTATGGGAAAGAAAGGGGTGACCCATTCTATACCGAGACTACACGGCGATTTATATATATTATTATTGATTAATAACTAATTAATTCTGAGTTCCATTGCTGGAATATGAGTTTATATTATATTTATAGTCATACTGTTTATAGGGCTCTAGGGATTAGTACGGCTATAGTTTATGGGATTATCCACAATCCGGATACTGCGGTTAACCACAACATACCTCTAACCGCTTATAGTTAAGCTTATTTATTCTTACGGCTTTAGAATTGAATCTTTTCTATTTTTTTTCTTGAGATAAATAACAATGCGGGATGGGAGTTAATCTTAAAAATGTTATTAGGCTGTCCTCATGACATAAGACAAAAATAAAAATTCGTATGTATTAATCTATTTTAGTCTACATCATGTCGGTTCCGGCATGAAATGGGCCACCCCTTCCTTTCCCGTTGGTGTCGTAAGAGGCGATTGAGGAAGCTTATGGTGGAGAGATGGGCAGCAGCGTCCCTCTTAAAACATCTGTAAAAGCCTAACTGCGGTGGCCAACTCGCCTGCCAAGCGTGGCAACTACTGACAAAACATCACTTATGGGGCAGGCTTATGTTCAGCAGTGGACAATTAATAGCTGAAATAATAATAATAAATAATAATCTATTTTAGGATATTGTCCAAAACTAATTCAAACTTGTCCAACCATTTATGCATGATTGGTTTTTTATGACATTTAATATTTTTTATAAATTTCACTATTATAATATAACTGAGATAGTATAATTTTAAGGAACGGGAGGTTAGTCTCTATTGCTATCAATACGCCAGCGTATACCGTTAGCGCAGGCGGGGTCACCATTCCATTATAATCCATTAAAAAAAAATAGCTAAAAGTTGCATAAAAAAACTGGCAGTGATAGTAATAATAATAATAAAACATTCAAAGGCCGCTATAAAAAAAATGACGTGGCTGATCTTATGCACAATAACTCTTGAGTGGTAAATAACATATCATTCGCTTAACTACCGAATTAAAAAAATATATATCTGACATATTTTTAGAGAACGGCCTGCCATTCTTAGAATTGCTTCAAGTATCTTGAAACCTGGACCTAGTAAACTATTAAGTGCGGTGATAGCTTTAGGCCAAATGGTAACTAGGTCGCTACTGTGAACACTGGCCATTCAGATTATTCTAGCAAAGATTCATAACCAGACAGAGAGGAATATCATATGACGCAGTTGAATTTAATAACGTATTGAATTTCGGATCGAATCGCATGTTGTCTATATTTGTAATATAACTACACTGGCTGTAATGTGCGGCATTGCCTATTGAATTAAGATAAAAATATTATTTTATGCATTGGTATAGGAAGAAACACTTGAAGAAAGTTATTTAGTGTATCATTGCCCACTTTGGTAATATAAAATAAAAAAAAATGTGATTTGCAAATTAGGTTGGCTTACAAAATTATAACTTTTCGAAAGTTATAATTTTGTAAGCCAACCTAATTTTGATTTTTGTTAATCAGATATGAATTGCATATTTATATATTACACTACTGTATTTGCCATCATTTTATGCCAAATTAGGTGTTCAGTGTGAGAGCTCTATCCGTGGTTGCATTTGTTAGTGTGTTGTACATAAATATTATACAAGATGTTATATATATTTAGTTTTTTTTTAATTTTATAACGACAACATTGTAAAAACACATCCACGTCGTCGCCCACATCCACGCGAGCATGTGATTTGTATAGTTGTTTATTACAATACGATTAAATTAAAGCGAAAATAATAAGAAAAAAAGATTTAATTTAAGATCTAAAAGTTATATAAAAATAGCTGCATAATGTTTGTACCCGATATATGGTGGCATTGGTGGTGTCTGCCCGTGGTAAGGACAGCAGTGCAAAGGGCAACAGCAGCGCACTCGACATGCGCCGCGGCCCCCCCATTTCTGCGCACCATTCGCGCCTGTACGCGCTCCCCTGGAAAAGAAATTACAATAATTATTTACTGTCATTTATTGTATGCATGGTATTGCAGGTATGTATTCATAGGCTATAGCAACTGCTTAATATAAGGTGGGTCGTATGCTTGTTTGTCACCTCAGTGGTATAAAAAAGTCTATTTCTTTATGTCACTGATTCAGGATAACCTAATGGCCTTGTGGATATGTTTACACTGTCCCGCCTGCCGCCTATCACGAGTGTCCTGACAGTAGCACATTATTTTTTATCATTGCTGTGATAAAGCCCTCGTTTATTTAGGAAGGGTCCGTCATAAGTCGTGGAGTTATGTAATGGTCAACAACCATCAGTGATAAAAAACTGCTTAGAAATTTGAAGAGGGACCATATGAAGTATACAAAGGCAAGTTCATATGTATCTACGTAATAGCCAATAACCATGTCATTATAGTTACATAAACACCCACAGCCATGCTATTTGATAATTCCAGCTTTTTGGGAAGTTCAAACTTGTTTTAACGAAAGTTATCAGGACAAGGGACCATATGAATTATGAAAAGGCACAAGTTAACGTCACGTGTTTCATGATTAATCGTTCCTTTCTTCATTTAGTTGTTAACAGACATCCATTTTATGCTAGTTCTTAGTAACCAATTCTATTAGTTGGACTCTCTTCACTTTGTTTTAAGTAGCAATACATGTATATGTAAAAAGTGTATATAATGTATATGTAAGGAAAGTTAGTGCAGTTAATAGCACGTAATAAATGAACTTAGTCTTCAGAAATAGTAACACATGAAGGATGATGGCTCATCGGGCGTATGAGTAATCAGCGGAGTCCATAGTGGTTACAGATGCGACTTTCATTACGTCATCTTTTTGCACTTCTTAAGCAAAAGATTTTTATAAGTATATTTTTAATTTCGTAGATTAAATACATTTTTTTTTATACAACTTAGAATGGCAAACAAGCTGACGGCCCACCTGATGGAAAGTGGTAACCGTCGCCTATAGACATGAGCAGTACCGTGGACACAACAGAGTATACTGTTTCGCCCATGATAACCCCCATGCGTTGCCATTCCTGAGGACTCAAGTGTTATTCCTCTGTACCCAGTAAATTCACGCTATATCCCACCCTTCAAACCGAAACACAGCCATGCAAACACAGTCGCTTCACGGTTGAATTACGAATGGGACAGAGGTACCCAAGCAATCGACTTTTGTACAAAGTCTCCCTCTGATATATGAAATCTTTGCTAATTTTGAACAAATTATGATATTTTTTTTTACAATCGTTGTTACCCTGTGTTTCTCCCATATTAATTTTGTACCTAGTGATTAAAGCGCATCCGTTTTCTTTGCAGAATAAAATCTATACCCTACTACACTACTACGCACGACTGATAAAAATCTCGTTTCTTATTGATTAATTTAAATTGTGATTAAGTATTCAAATATTAATTTTTGTATTGTTTTGTAAAATCTTTATTGTACATAATTTATATTGGATACATTAAAAGATTTAATATACAATGTTGGACTTATCCCATAAAGGGATCTCTTAAATTTAACTACCTTTAAGAAGCTTAAAGAAAACTGTATAATGTACAAGAGTAAAAACCGTATAGCTAAAGATAAACTAAATAATATATAATTAATTTTTATCATTATCGAATTTGTATTTATTTTTCTGGATAAAAATCTAATTGTTAGCTTTCCTAATAATAATTTGAACGGATTAAGTGCCGAGTTTTGTAATCAGCGTTTGTTATTACTGTAGAATTAATTGATTGGCGATTTATATTGATATACAAAGTTTTTGATAACTGAGACTTTCAAAAGACGGTAGTACCCGTAAACCGGCGTATGACAGCGTTTGTAAGAACTTTAATAATTAATATTTATTACGCAAGAATTGGTCTTGTTATTTTATAGGCTGACAACGAAATAATAGCAACATTTAATGTCAGTATTTATTTATAACAATGAAATTGTATTCTCTGATTAGATACTAAAGATATGGAATGCTTTAGTCTTGAGTTCAGTTATATTCATTTCACTTTCAGCGACAGCCGTCAAAGTTTTGCGATGGCAAATGGCAACGTTTGAATGGAGCTCTACCCACTTGGAATGCCGGCTTGTTTTACAACTTTGCCTTCATGGCATTGTTGCGTTTGTGTTTATAGTAATGGGCCAAACCTTAATAAATTAAAACTTTTTAATCTTTCTAAAACCTTTATATAAAAATATTAGCTGAGTTTCTGGAATGATATTATCCGTTTAAATTAAAAAATGAGTCATGGATCTGCGTGGTGGAAAATGTATAAATTTAATATCCTATAGTTTTTTTATATATATATATATATATATATATATATATATATATATATATATATATATATATATATATATATATATATATATATATATATATATATATATAATCTTTATATAAAAAATATTTTATAAAACAACCTAAAAATGAAATATATCCGTAGAGAAAATATAACATAGAAGCTGAAATTCGAAAATATTAGAGGCAAAATTATTTATTTAGTATATGTAATAATTTTCAGTAAAGAATCTTGTGAATTTCGTAGAATGCGCTCAGAGGTTTTCCGCTTTCGAATTGTTCTTGGAATACTCGTTGATTTAATTTGCTGTATTAATTATATTACATAATTACCAAGAAATACTAATAACAATATGAAAATATTGGTACAGTCAGAGAGAAGAGCTAATAAACTAAAAAAGGTAAGATAACAGGTGATGAGCGCGCTGTTAGGTTTTCAGGTCAGCGCTAGTGATGGGCGGGGTCGGCCTTTTTATTTATTCAAGTATTTTACAGCTACAAAAATAATCGAATCCAAACTTGGACAAGTACTCGGGTACTTATTCTACTATTCGAGTATTTAATAATAATCGAATCATTTTTGAAGGTTACTTTTAATAAAAATATTAATATTAAATAATTTAATAGTTTTTTTAATTGAATAGTTTAGAACAACTAAATAAATAATGAAATAGAAATATAAAAACTTACGATTAAGTCGTAACTAGTATTTAAATACCGCATGTACTCAAAACCTGTATCCGTACCATGTATCCGATTTCTATAGATTGAGTACTCGAGTACTTAGGTGTAACTAGGTGGTGTACTAGAGTCAGTCTGACTCGACATATTATTAGTCAGCACTGTAGCAAGAGTCACCAACATCAAATAATAAAGTTGTATATTTCCCAGCAATAGTTAGAAGTGCTGTGGCTGTAATTTTCTATGTAAGGTATATATTTGGGTACACTCCAACAATAGCAAACCTTTATTATAAGATAGAACCACTTGTTTGTGATTATAAGAATGTTGTTTATTTTGATATATTTTCATTAATTGTGAATAAATTTTTATGATACATTATTTAATTTTACCAGAGGAAGACTTTGTACAAAAGTCGTTTGCTTGGGTACCTCTATCCCATTTGTGTTTCAACTGTAAAGCAGTTGTGTTTACATGGCTGTGTTTCGGTTAGAAGGGTGGGATATGGCGTGATTTTACAGGGTACAGAGGAATAACACCTGAGTCCTCAGGAATGGCAACGCATGGGAGGTATCATGGGCGAAACAGTATACTCTGTTATGTCCATGGTATTGCTCATGTCTATAGGCGACGGTTACCACTTTCCATCAGGTGGGTTGTTAGCTGGTTTGCCATTCTAAGTTGTATAAAAAAAATTAATGTTATTTTGCAAAAATTTAAAAGAATTTAATGCGTGACTAAAGATAATTCGACAAGATAGATTTTTTAAAATGAAATCTTTAATTATGATTACGAGTATGCCATTTCATTGAACCTTGATGACGAACGGTGATTGAACCGTGCTGCTAAAGCAGCGTTTTCATTGTGTATAGGTTCTACTGTGCAAAACAGTTTTAGTAAACAGATAGTTTAGGAATAAAGTATAGTCATATTATTATATCACTATGTTAGATAATACTTTATTGAATATTGTGTTATATAATATAAATATCTAATAGCTAAGAGTTCCTGCCCTGTGCTGCTACTGACATAATGCTGTTCTATGAAAATGTGTTAAGTCGTGAATTTTGTAATGTTCTAAAGTAATTTACTTATTTCAATAACTTTAATGACCAGATAACATTCTCTATCAGTCAACTTTTAGGATAAGTAATATGTAAATTACCAACACGGTATTTTTTCGTTAATATAAGTAATTGTTGTTTATTGATTTGGATTACTTTATTTAAACTACTATTATATAAATAGCTAATGATATAAGTTGATTGTTGAAATAGTCATTATAATAGTAAATACTTAAATAAAATCAATTTTTGAGTTTTTATTCCGGTACCTGAGTTTATAAGATTCAATTATTTATATACCTACTTATAACAGGATCCTGACAGCGTCTTTACGCGCTTAGGTAATATTGTTGAGACATCTAGTCCTGGGATAACTGCATTTGTTCGAGACAAAGTTACAAGCGCTCTCAGAATGTTAATTAAGTATACTCTTTGTACTCGTGCATCTTCTTGTTTATTTAAAATGAAATATAATGTACTTAGTTTACATAAAATAATTTTCAGCATATAATATATCCATTAAAAGAAAAGTAAAACAAAGAATTATATGTTCCTCCGCAAAAAAGACGACTTCTATCGTGATAAAATAAATAAGGGTACAAGACGAGAATAAATCCTATTGAGTGCAAAAAGAATTCTCATTTATTAAGAAATGATGACCTTCATCTCATGGAAAACATAGAAAAAAAATAAGGGGACATGCTTCTTTTTAAGTCGTAATTATAAAGCTTTCTATTTGAAGACTTACGATTTCCATTTGTGAAATAAAATATTTTCAATCTATTCTTTCCAAATATCTCTTCTCTTTGTTCAATGATATTTTTGTTTTTTAAATATAGAGTAATGATATAATGATTATTTGTTAATATTAATTTTCTTACGATTACAGTCATTGTTTTTATTTAATACTAGCGATTC